ATGCACCAAAGGCAATCACTACTTTCTCTTTCTTTTCTTTTCTTTTGTTTTTTACATAAGAGACAAACAGTTGACTGGAGATGAATCATAGTTTTTAGAGCTGTCTTTAAATATTATTTGTGTAATGAGGAGATTTACAGATCCAGAGAATCAGCTGATTGTGTGTGTGTGTGTGTGTGTGTGTGTGTGTGTGTGTGCGTGCGTGCGTGCGTGCGTGCGTGCGTGCGTGCGTGCAATAATGTTTGCATGTTTTAAATGAAATAACGTGTTTCATTTTTTAAATTAAAGCATATTCAGTTTTAATGGATGCAGAGCTTGTTGGAAAAGAAAGTCAATGAACTACACAGTTTGTTTCGTTTTGTTTGTTTATTTGTTTGTTTGTTTTGTCTGTTTGTTTAAAGGTTAAAGAAACACCATTATTATTTTTTTATTATTTATTTATTTATTTATTTATTTATTTATTTATTTATTTATTTATTTATTTATTTATTTATTTAATTTTATTTTACAGCTAAGCCTATCTCCATAACTATTTCAAATAATATTTGTCTTTTTATCATTTAATACTTAAATTTTCTTAAGATGCATTTTAGCAGCACCACAGCAGAAGGAACCACTGTTGTTTAATTAAATGTATTTTATTTTATTTTATTTTATTTTAGTTTAGTTTAGTTTATTTTTATTTATTTTATTTTTATTTTAAGCCTAAATCTTTTATCCATAATTAATTCTAATAATATTATAATAATTAGTCATTTCAATAATAAATGCTATAATTTTCATAAAAAATGCATTTCAGCAGCACCACAACAGGTTAGGAGAAGGCCAGTGCTTTAATTGTTTAAATTATAAATTTAATTATTAATATGACATTATTTTCTTTTATTAATTTTTTGTTAGTTTTTAATTATTATTAATAGTTCTTTTTTTCTTTTTTTGTTTTATCAAAATGTGTGTATTTATTTTTTTTTTATTCAGGGTTTTTCTTTATTTTATTTGTTGTTTTAAATGTGTTAAATAAAAAAAAAATATTAATAAATTCTACAAAAAATAATAATATATATTAATATTTACAACATCAATTTCTTATTTAAATTATTTATTTGTTTATTTGAATGTGTTTTAAAAGTTATATTTTTATGTTGCTTTCTGTTTTAATAAATCACATTTATTGTTCATTTATTTTCTTAGTTATATAATTTATTTCATTGTTATTTTTGCATTGATTATTATTATTATTATTATTATTATTATTATTATTATTATTATATAAAAAAAAAATCACAAGTACTGGGTTGTGACCGAAAGGGCATCTGCTGTGTAAAAACATATGCTGAAACACTCGGCAGTTCATTCCGCTGTGGTGACCCCTGATAAATAAAGGGACTAAGCCGAAGGAAAAGGAATGAATAATTATTCCATCTGCAACCCATCACTGGGAAACATCCATACACACTCATTCACACACATACACTACGAATAATTTAGCTTACCCAATTCACCTGTACTGCATGTTTTTGAACTTGTGGGAGAAACCGGAGCACCCAGAGGAAACCCACACGAACACATGGACTCAGCCGAGGCTCGAACCAGCGATCTTCTTGCTGTGAGGTGACAGCACTACCTACTGCGCCACTGCACTGCATGTTATTATTATTATTATTATTATTATTATTATTATTATTATTATTATTAATTGCAGTTACATCGGTTAGGAAATGTGTTTGTGCTATGTAATTAATAGGCATGGCTTGAAAAACAAGAATGAAACTGTCATGTACTGTATATGCAATGTACAGTACACATGCTAAATAACATATACGGTGGTATGCATGAACTAGTGTACAGTACATCTCTGCAGATAAACACAAGCATAACAGCAACATTGTGCTAATTAAAAAAAAAAAAAAATCTAATTATGTCTCATTGCAATTAAAGCGCCGGCCCTCTCCTGGCCGAAACGCATCTCTCATGAAAATGAAAACATTTCTAATGAAATAAATAAGGTGCGGAAATTAGCTCAAAATCAGCCGCCGCAACACGTACAGCTTGTTTAATTAGTCGACGATTTTACTTATATAAACTTAAACGAATTTAATTATGTACACATTTTCCAATAAGATTTGCATTTGATTGTAGCTTAATGAGACTGCGCTCAGAATGATATTACAGCCTGATGTTGAATCTGTTTATCTGCATTTCCATCAGTGTTCCTGTGCTCTTATCATTATAACTCGTTGCTGTGTATAGTGTTGTTGGACCTGTTTGTGTTCACTGCTTTAGCATAAATGAGCAAACAAACCCCTCACACACACTCAAAAAAAAGATTACTGCTGCTTGTTCAAACTACCTGTTTAAAATGGGCTGAATTAACACAATTCTTGCAGTTTCTTTGGCCAGTTTATTTGTTTTATGTTCAATCCACTTAAATTTATAAACTCTTAAGTTAACTTAAGCGTTTTGCCAGTTTATTTGTTCAACAGTTTATTTGTTTTATGTTCAGTCCACCTAATTTTGTAAACCATTAGGTTAACTTAAGCGGTTTGTGTTGGGACAACATAAAACAGTTGTTTTGGTCCAACTAGTTCCAAGCATGCTTTGATTGGGATTGAATTAAGAGAGATACATTTTGACAATAAAAGTAATCTTATGTGTTTAAAGTTAACAGAAAGACTTGTTAGAGTTTAATCTTCACTTCAGTTCAGTCTTCCCTGAGGCCTCCTACCAGTGGGACATGCCTGGAATAATACCTCCTTAGGTGGGCTTCCAGGATGCATCCGAAACAGTTGCCTGAGCCACCTCAGCTGACTTCTATCGATGTGGAGGAGCAGCGGCTCTACTCTGAGCTCCTCCAGGGTGACAGAGATCCTCACCCTATCTATACCCTGCGAAGGAAACTCATTTTGGCCGCTTGTATTCAAAATATTGTCCTTTCGCACATGACCCAAAGCTCATGACTGTGTGGAGTTTGCATGTTCTCCCTGCATTTGCGTGGGTTTTCCTATGGGTTTCCCCCACAGTCCAAAGACTGTACAGATGAATTGGGAAGGCTAAAATGTCCGTAGTGTTTGAGTGTGTGTGTGAATGTGTGTGGATGTTTCCCAGAGATGGGTTGCGGCTAGAAGGGCATCCGCTCCGTAAAAACTTGCTGGATAAGTTGGCGGTTCATTCTGCTGTGGCGACCCCGGATTAATAAAGAGACTAAACCGACAAGAAAACAGATGAATGAGTGAATGTTCAGGTCCGGATTAATTGGTTCAGGTGTGTTTAATCAGGATTGGAGCTGAACTCTTCAGAAAGGTAGATCTCCAGGAGCAGGGTTGAGCACTTCTGATGCTGCTACTGCTGATGAAGATGATGTATATGATGAATGAATGATAATTTTGAATGTGTTTGTCTCCAGATAATCAGTCGATGGCGTCTGAGACAGCGGTCAGCATCCGCATCCTGGACGTGAACGACAACCCACCTGAGCTGGCCACTCCTTATGAAGCCTCAATCTGTGAAGACGCCAAACCTGGACAGGTAAGAAATAAAAAGAGACTGTGTGTTTGCTGCAGCTGTTTATAAAGCTGTCGTATGCATTGGAGTGTGTCATTTCAGTGAGGAGTGTGTGTGTGTGTGTGTGTGTGTGATCTGCCTGCTCTCAGACAGCTGTGTGTCCGTGTCCAGCTTTCTGAACATCAGCTGTGTGTTTGTGTGCCAGTGATATGAACATCAGCTGTTTGCTCTGATCAAGTGTTCGCTTTCTAATTGCATTGTGGGTAGCGCTTCACTCAGCATGGCCTTCCTGATTCGCTTTGACGGCAGTTTACAACGCCTAACAAGATTTGTTTTTTCTGAAGCTCAATATCTGGTCTGATCGCGCAGGGTTAATGCAGTTTGGCTGAACTCACCCGTCTCTCCATCCTGCATGGGTGTAGAAACAGCTGCCAACATAAACATGAGCTCCGCCACCCTAAAGATTAGATCTGCCACACTGAAAAGGAGCTCTGTCTCTCTAAAGATGAGCTTTGCCACCTTAAAGTTTAGCTCTACCACCTGGAAAATGTGTTTTGTAACCCTAAAGATGAGCTTTGAGACCTTAGAAAGAAGTTCTGCCACCCTAAGATGTGCTCTGACTCTCCAAATATGAGATCTGCAGAATTAAAGATGAGCTTTGCCCCTCTAAGATGTGCTCTTCCACCCTAAAGATGAGCTCTGCCACCCTAAAGATGAGCTCTGCCACTCTAAGATGAGCTTTGCCACATTAAAGATGAATTTTGCCACCCTAAAGATGAGCTTTGCCACATTAAAGATGAATTTTGCCACCCTAAAGATGATCTCTGCCACATTAAAGATGAATTTTGCCACCCTAAAGATGAGCTTTGCCACATTAAAGATGAATTTTGCCACCCTAAAGATGATCTCTGCCACATCAAAGATGAATTTTGCCACCCTAAAGATGAGCTCTGCCACATTAAAGATGCATTTTGCCACCCTAAAGATGAGCTCTGCCACATTAAAGATGCATTTTGCCACCCTAAAGATGATCTCTGCCACATTAAAGATGAATTTTGCCACCCTAAAGATGAGCTCTGCCACATTAAAGATGCATTTTGCCACCCTAAAAATGGGCTTTGCCACTTTAAAATTTAGTTCTGCCACCCTAAGAGGAGATTGGCAACATTAAAGATGAAATATGCCATCCTTTGAGAGCTTTGCCATATTAAAAATATTTTTTACTGTTAAAAAAAGATGAATCTTTCCACTCTAAGATGAGCTCTGCCGCATTAAGGATGGAGTTTGCCACCCTAAAGATGAGCTCTATCACTTTATAAATTAAATTTGCCACCCTAAATATCAGCTCTGCCACTTTACAAATGAGTTCTGCTACTCTAAGATGAGCTTTGCACATTAAATATGAATTTTGCCACCCTAAAAATGAGCTTTGCCATCTTACAATTTGTTCTGCCACTCTAAGATGAGCTTTGCCACATTAAAGATGAATTGTGCCACCCTAAAGGTGAGCTTTGCTATCCGAAAGATGAGTTCTGCCACCTTAAAAATGCTTTCTGCCACTCTAAGATTGGCTTTGTCACATTAAAGATATTTTTTTCACCCTAAAGATGAGCTCTGCCACATTAAACATGATTTTATCACCCTAAAATGAGTTCTGCCACTCTAAGATGGAATTTGCCACCTTAAGGATGAGCTTTGCCACATTCCAAATTATTTTTCTTACCCTAAATATCAGCGCTGCCACCTTACAAATGACCTTTGCCACATTAAAGATGAATCTTGCCATCCTAAAGATGAGTTTTGCCACCCTAAAAATAACCTCTGCCACCTTACAAATGAGTTCTGACACCCTAAGAGGAGCTTTGCCACATTAAAGATACATTTTACCACCCTAAAGATGAGATTTGCCACCTTAAAAATTTGTTCTGCCACCCTAAGATAAGATTTTCCATATTAAGGATGAAATGTGCCACCCTTAAGAGATGAGCTTTGCCACATTAAAATGTATTGTTACCCCTTTAAAGATTCATTTTGCCACCCTAAATATCAGCTCTGCCACCTTGAAATAGGTTCTGCAACTGTAAGATGACATTTGCCACATTAAAGATGAGTTTTGCCACCCTAAAGATGAGCTCTGCCACTTTCAAATTATTTTTCCTACCCTAAATATCAGCGCTGTCACCTTACAAATGACCTTTGCCACATTAATGATGAAATTTTTCACACCCTAAAGAAGAGCTTTGCCACCTTGAAACTTGTTCTGCCACCTTAAAATGAGATTTGCCATATTAAAGATTAAATGTTCTACCCTTAAGATGAGCTTTGTCACATTAAACATGATTTTTACCACCCTAAAATTAGTTCTGCCACGCTAAGATGAGCTTGGCCACATTAAAGATGACATTTGCCACTCTAAAGATGAGCTTTGCCACCTTAAAAATGATTACTACAGCCTTAAAGATGAGCTCTGCCATCTTAAAAATTTCGTCTGCCACCCTAAATTGAAGAAAATTCCAAAATTATTTTATTACCCTAGATAACTTTTTCCACCCTAAATATCAGCTCTGCCACCTTAAAATGAGCTCTGCCACCCTAAGATGAACTTTGCCACATTAAAGAGGAATTTTGCTACCCTAAAAATTGCATCTGTCACCCTAAATATCAGCTCTGCCACCCTAAAAATGTGCTCTGCCACCCTAAGATGAACTTAAACACCACATTAAAGATAAGCTCTGGTGTCACTATTATGGCAGTTTTATCTAAAGAGTCTCAGTATCTGCAAACGGTAATATTATCTTAATCAGCATCTTCATTTCTTCATCAATGACATCATTAAGTCATTGTTCGGGAAACGCTTCTCTGACCTCCGCAAGCTGCCAGACTGGACACAAACGCTGCAGCAGAACAATCAGTGTGTGTCACATTCACTTCTGAGCCAATCGCTTTCCCCCTTTTGTCAAAATAGTTTCATTATTGCTTTGCTCCTACTTTGGACCTTTTTCAATTGGAAAGAATGATCCGTCTGACATTTCGTCCCCGAAGGCAATTTATAAAGTCAGTTTTTTTCAGTGCCTGTCAGCAAACTCACCCACAGCTCGGTCCACTTGTTGCACTTGTTTACACGTGGAACAGAAGAACACATGTTCAGGCCACAAACTTCTCTCCTCATTTATTTACTGCCGTGCTCTTTCAGACCAACATGACATGCTGTCTTTTGTCAAGCAAAAAAAGGGGGATTTTTTTAAATGACAACTAACAAAAAAACACAAGCTTTTGAGTTTAAGACAGTGCAGAAACATGAGCATAAATTGTTAAAATTGTTTCTATTATACATTTTGGGACGCTGAAATATTAAATGTATTTTATATTGTTTTAAATTATTTAGAACAGCTAGAGTATTATGTCATTCTTCAATCAATGTTTCATTTCACAACGATGTAAAACATGCTGAAGAAATAGGATATATATAGGATATATATACATTTATATGATGGATTAAATTTGTATGATTATATGGCTTGCTTGGTTTGGGACTTGTGGAGCTGTGCATGGATGGATTTGCTCTTCAGTGTTTGGACTTTCAGCTGTGAAAATTAAACCACACTGAGCTGAACTAAACTGAAGTTCAACTCTAAAAACTGGACTGACACACTTTCAGTTTACTAAAAACTTCTAATCTACATTAGAGCTGTAATCGGACCATAAAAAATAGACCCGATAGGGCCCGAGCCAGACAGAATTCGGCCCTAGCCCGACAGGTACATTTTGATTGACAGCTTTATAAAGCATGAAAAAGTGTTTATAGCCCGACATTATTCAAATGTGGTCATGCACACAGCTCTTTTGCCTTTTTTCAAGAATGAGTCATTTATATGTTTTAACATAATTTATTCGTAACAAACGTAAGCTATAGGCAACTTGGAAGTTGAAACCAATAAATAAAATTAGTCCTCTGTACACTGTAAAAAGTGCTACACTCACAAAGTTGGTTCTATCTACTTTAAATAATTGCAATCTAGTTAATTTTATTTGTTTTATACCAAAAAAATTTAATTTGCTTCCTCTTTACTTAAAATATATCAGTTTTTATATAACTGTATATTTTAAATAAAACTAATGCAATTTATTTGAGTAGATTTTTTTACGTGGTTATTGTGTAGAATAATGTTATAAAAGTGAGTTGACACAGACAATTTATTAGAGCAGCTGTCGATGTGGGCAGGTGTTCATAAAACGTGATTTTTATAGTTTTGCGTGACTCCTTTTTCATTGCCCGGGATTTAGCAGGCAGACGCAGCTTCTGCAATGGTCGACATTAACTGCTCCCAGCAGCGGATCTGATTAACACGGTAAGTTGCAAATTTAGCCGAATGATAATTGTAAAGTCATGCAAAACTGCTGTCTTCGCTAGGCAGGTGAGGTTTTAGCTTTGTAAATTGTACTGTAGCCTCAGGTATGTTAACAGTTAGACTGCTCTCACATGGAAAGCTAAGTTGGCTAACGCTAACCAACGCTAGTTTATGCTAATGATTAAAAGTGATATTATTGAGAAAAAATAGTGAAAGTAGTTTTAAAACACTTAGTAGGTATAACTAACGTTGCAGAACCGATTAACAAGGTCACTGGTGGGCGGTCGGGGTGTGGGGGTTCAGTTTGCTAGCGCTAAATTAGCTAAAGTTAGCTCACCTAAGTTATAGCAGCACATTAAGGATGGATATTAAATGCAGAAACGTATGCAACAGTTAAGTAGTTTGTGTTTAACGTAAGAGAAAGTATAACTTAAAGTTTGTGTTTTAGAGATTTAGTCCATAAGTTTTTTAATGCTGCATAGTGAATAAATTACAGATTTACAATTTATTTTAACTTAAATTACATTTACTACTGATGTTTACAGAACCATTTAAACTGTATGCACCTCATTCTAAAATGCATGTTCTTGGTCTTTAGATACCAAAGTGATTTTGTTACCTGTGGATCTTCAAACTTCACATCCAGGTAAGAAAAACATTAGATACAACTACAGCTATAATTATTTGCAGGCAAGTAAAACATTGGTAAAATTGCAAACAATAGTGGGCTCCATAGAATTAACTTACATTTGATATCTGAAGTGCAACAGTAATTTTT